CAGACCTTATTGCTTGAAGAATATTGCCATTGTACTAAAGAATTCTTATGTAGTTTAATTTATACCAAAATGAGCTATGAGCTGTGTCAATGAGTATGAGTTTTCTGAATTGGGGAAATTATTGGGATTTTGTTTTTCAGCCAGGTAAAAATCCATCCCCAACTCCCAAACCTTATATATAAGTTCTAAGACTACTTAGCTCAGAGAGAGGGTTCACTTTCTTCTCCTGCTATATGTATTTTTCTCTCTCGTTTCTGACACATTAAAACAATGTGTTTCAGAATGAGAAATTTAACAGAAACATGAAAGATACATGCATTCCTCTTCCCTTCTTGATTCCCAATTGCCACCACAAAGCATTTCATAAAAGTATTTATCCACGAATGAGATTTTCCCTCTTTTTCTTTTTTCTTTTATAATCAGGAAAATCTGTAGTTTATTTGTTCCAAGGAGAAAACAGCACGATTAGAATGTTTACCCCAAAGAATGCTAATTATGTTCCAGAAGCTCAATTCAGAAGCTGTTATTAGGATTTATGTACAAGTACAATGTAGAAGGAATTTGAGTGGCCTCAAATTCAGTGCTGTGGCAAGAGCAAAAAAATAAATAACTTCAGCCAAATGTGTGCTGGAAATATAAAGCATTGTGGCACAGTGGTTAAGAGCTATGGCTGCTAACCAAAAGGTCGGCAGTGCGAATCCACTAGCCACTGCTTGGAAACTCTACAGGGGCTGTTCTGCTCTGTCCTCTAGGGTTGTTATAAGTCTGAATCGACTCGACTGGCAATGAGTTTTCATCACTGGGTTTCCTGGGTAGTCACTGAGCCACAACAACAAGCAGGAAGGAACCCAGCGATGTGAATGAAAGTGGTGGTGTAGAAGCAGCTGGAGATCTTTCTAGTTCTGCAGCAGGTTGCTGAGTGAAGATTTTGCCTAGACAATACCTTGGAATACAAAGGATGATCTTTATTTCAGGGTCAGTGAAGAAGGCTTGAAGGTAGGGAGATTATGCCCTGTTACACAGGTTGCGCTTTGAGTGGGGAATAAAAGAAAGAAAAAGGTGGAGGAGGAGGAGGAAAGGAAGAGAAAACGAAAGAAGAAGGGAAGGGAGAGAAGGAAGGAGGGAGGGAGTTCTTAGGGCAATGAGAAGCCACTATGAGCACATAAGAAGATGGTGGGGAGTGTCCAGGAGCCTGAGATGGTGTCCTGAGACTCCTAGAATCCTATAGCTTCTTGCCTTGCTCACCACTCACCCAGACTAGCACAC